TTATTCCAGCTTGCAGGACTGGCCTAGGGTAATTTTTAGGGGGGTTTTAATTATATTTTAAATTCGACAAATATTTAAATATTCCTTTTAATTAATTTTAAATTTGTATTGTTTTGTATGTATTTTAAATAGATTGTCAGCCGCCCTGAGTCCTACGGGAGAAGGGCGGGATATAAATCCAAATATAAATAAAATAAAATAAATAAAATATTCCAAAATTTGAATTGCTAACAAAGAATTAAGGGAGAACTGGGATAGCTATTTCAAACCCTATTTGAAAGACTTCTCTTTCCCATATTTGGGCCGACAGGGTGCTCTAAAAGAAAAAAGCATATATATATATATACACACACACACACACACACACACACACACATATCAGATAGCTGTCATGATATACTTTGCTATAAATTGCAGATCTCAAAATCTAGACTTTTCATTGCTATAATATTAGGTATGTCTGAAAATAAATCTTGAATGAAGCCAAATTTGGTTTAGTATGTACTGCAGAGGCTTTAGAATGAAAATGCCAGAGGTATTGCAAATGTCTTGAATATACTTTTGAGCCTCAATCTTTCTGCTTCTTGTTTAGCACTGCAGCCATGTAGTGGTATAGTGTATCAATATATAGAAAAATATAGTTACATTATAAAGTGCTTTTCAGAACATTCTCTAAATCATTATTTTAAAAAGAGATACCAAAGCAAATTAGAATTGTGTCTCTTTTATTGAGAATGCATATACAGTAAAAAAAAATCCCCCATGATAAAAACTTGGCAAATTTGTTATAATAATTAATTGTTCTTTCTTATTTGTGAGATGGCTGATGAAGCTCTGAGATAGCTTGATGGTCTGTTAATGAAGATTTTCCAGTACTACATAAGAGTATGAAGGGGAAAAAAATCACTAGAGGGAGCTGCTGTTCCATTCAAAATGAGCTTCTTGAATAGTTTTTCATCTTAAATGACCCACAACATTGAATAGAAGAGATTTACAGCAATATAATAAAGGGAATACCTCTAAAACAATATAATTGACACTAAAATAGAATCCCAAAATGTTGCACTAGAAAGAAAATCATAATTTATGTTCATAATTATTTATTCTTACAGGCATTTGAAGAAAAGCATAAAAGTAAATGGGGGAAGTACTGTGGTTTCGAACAGAAGCAATTGTATTGTTTATTCCTTCTCTGGAACTTAAACTTAGTCCAGTGAGAATGAGAGAACTCTTACAGAACGGTGGGTTAAGCAAAGTCACCAGGTCTGTTTACTAAATTATCAGCTTGCTCTCAGTTTGTTAAGAGGGCTAGAAATTATATACTTTCCCCCAATCAATGAAATGGTTATAAAAACAATTCAGCATTTGTCAGAGCCAGAGTTCTGGGCTCTGAGTTTCAACAAGAGTAGAATAAGAGTAAACAATGCTCTGGCTTTACTAGAAAACATGTCAGACAAACTTAAACATCAGGTAGCTTTCTGATGCTGTGAAATTGATGTTCGTTCTGCTATCTATTGTTCTATATAGTCACTTCTGAAACCATGATTTTATTTAGTGCTTGATGAAAATTTCCAATCCTAGTTGGATAATTATGAGGTATAATAATTACTCCCATAGCCCTAGGTACATTAACCTGTACCGATCTCAGTAAAGTGTATTTTTTACCTCCCTTGTAACAACTTACCACCCACCGCTAGCAGACCTATTCACTGAAGCCTCTGATGGCAGATGGATCTTCTCACTCTGTCAGGACCCAGAAAAGTCAGTTTTTGAAGTGGGAGACAAGCATAATGGCAGCTGGGACAGAGAAATCTTATATGAGACGTATTTGTTCATCTTTCTTAAAGCTATACCTATCATAATATCTCTTCCATCAAATCATATATTTATTTATTTAAAACATCTATACTACATGTAATTACTAACCAGGCTGATAGTGCTCAGCTTTTTCAAGATCACATCAAATGGTGTTAGCTAGGTGTTAGCAACTCTTATTTTACATTGTTCCATCCTGCCTGTGAAATGTTTTCTTGCTATGGTATAAATGAATACTGCATATTGGTTATATAAACATCGGGTAGGGAGACACAATAGGGCAAACAAGGAACCTATCAGCATCTTCCTTTTCTGCTTGTCAGGATGGAGTAGCTCTATTCTTGGAGTGAGCAAACTGTCTCCTTTTCTGATTTAACATAAAGTGCTACTATAGTCGCAACCCAATGTTTAAAAAAAAGAATCAGAAGAAAAGGCAGCATCCATTGTATGGCTTGGTACTTAGCTCTGTAGAACTTATTCATGACATTCTCAGCCTAAAACCCATTTAATGCTAAATACAAGTGCCATATTTACAACGTTCTTAACACACAAAGAAGTCCAGTTACTTCATACATTACAGTTGTAAAAATTACAGTACAATAAGATAGGCTGCTTAAGACAATGCTAGTTCAAGTTCAAAACATTTCAGAAACTGTAAGAGGGATATCTTGCATAAGAAACCTCAGTGGAAGACCATTTTTTGTATTTATAACTTGGATTTTTATAGATTTAACATTATCATAATTTTAAAAAATACATTGGGGTCTATTGGACACTTCTGTGATGTTAGAATAGGTGACACTGGGCTCAATTGTAGTATAATTGTGAGAGGGATCTTGGAGTCCTAGTGAACCATCACTTAAATATGAGCCAGCAGTATGCTGCAGCTACCAAAAAAGCCAACACAATCCTAGGCTGCATTAACAGAGGTATAGAATCAAGGTCATGTGAAGTGTTAATTATAATGCCTTGGTAAGACCACATTTAGAATATTGCATCCAGTTTTGGTCACTATGGTATAAAAAAGATGTTGAGACTCTAGAAAGAGTGCAGAGAAACGTAACAAAGATGATTAGGGGACTGGAGGCTAAAACATATAAAGAATGATTGCAGGAATTGGGTATGTCTAGTTTAATGAAAAGAAGGACTAGGAGTGACATTATAGCATTGTTCCAATATTTGAGAGGCTCACAGAGAAGAAGAAGTCAATCTGTTCTCCAAAGCACCTGAAGGCAGGACAAGAAGCAATAGATGGAACTAGTCAAGGAGAGAAGCAACCTAGAACAATTAATCAATGGAACGACTTGTCTCCCGAAGTTGTGGGTACTCCAACAGTGGAGGTTTTTAAGAAGAGATTGGACAAACCCTTTGAAGGGTTTCCTGCTGAGCAGGACATTGGACTAGAACAGGGTCCCCAACCACAGGCCGCAAACTGGCACTGCCTCACAGCCTGCCAGGAATCAGGCTGCACAAGTGACTGAAGCCCCATCCATGCACGTGCAGGATCCAGACAGTATGTAAAACCAGCCCCTCCCACCCAGTCTGCAGAAAACCCTTCTTCTATGGAATCAGTCCCTGGCATCCAAAAGGGGTTGGGGGTTGATGGGCTAGAAAACCTCCAAAGTCCCTTTCAACTCTGTTATTCTATTGTTCTGTCTTAAGAAGAAATGAGTAGGCTCAGTTAATTTCCTGAAGATGCTGCATTCATAATCCAGCATTGATTCATATGATGTAAGAAATCTGTTTTGAACAGAAGCATCATTTAGTTGACCATTTTAGAAATCTGGACTGCAAGTACTCTACCTGCTTATTACTATGTAGGAGATACACACTATCGTGAAGTATTTTTTCCTAAAACCAATAACAATGATGTTCAGAACATTCCTCTATCACAATTTCATTTTATTAATGAATAATATGCCCCAATCTGATAGGGATTCTTCATTCTGAAGGTTTTTCATTTTCAATATAACTATGTCAAACAGAACTATTACATTCTTGTTTTTACCTTTAATAAATAGAGACATCATTTGGTTCCTTTCCAGACACATTATTAATGTTGCTAAAATTACTCCTGTGTAGAATATGTCTGTGAACTTTCAGTGATTACAGAATAAACAATTAAGTAGCACACCAAGAAAAATGGAGGTAGCCCAATGCCAGAACTGAAGGAATCTCCTTAGATTCAGCTATATGTCCAAGCACAGATTCCAATCCATGGGCCTCTGACAAAAAGCTCCAAGTGCGTCTAGCACAATCCCAACATACTTGTTATTAGAATGAAAGCATAGTACAATTCCTTTTATACAGTTCATATATGTCTTAATTTTCTCTTAATTCTTTAGCAAACTCCTTTAATCTACAGTGGAATATTTTTTCCAGCATTCTGCCATTCAAACGATCTGCATCTTTGAAACTACCTTTCTTAATCACACGTTTCCCATTTGAAATACACGGCATCCTTGCTTTGGATAAAGTAAAATAGTTAAATATCTTGGATAAATACATAGTCCGAAAGGCTCATCAATCTTTTCCATTTCCACCAGTTCCAGAAGTTGTTATCCTATTTTTCTTATCAGACCCATATCCCATACCTCTCTATATGCCTGAGCCATTTTTTTTAATCTTTGTTTTTCTGCAGAGAAAGCAAAATAATTGCTCACACAACTTCCCTAGGGTATCTGGTAGGGATAGTGGACTAAGCTGAGTTTGATGCTATCCTTTTGGGTACTCACAGGTGGCCCTGGTGGTCCTGCTGTTCCAGGGAGTCCTGGTTTGCCTCGTCGTCCCTGGATAAACAAAGAATATAAGAGCAAGAGTTATTGGGACAAAGAATCAGTTATTTGTTTAAAGAACACGTTTTTGAAAAATATCAAATCTTTATGGAAGGAAATTTTCCAGAACAACCATTCTGGAACATTACTAGAAATGTATGGTCCTGGCATCATATACCACACTTTTCTTCTGTAGAAGCAGATTTGAACAAACTGGCTTAGTGCCTTGCACAAATTATTCTAGACAGAATGTTTTCATTTTAAATGAAAAAATTCATTTAAAAAAAATTGATGACATTAAAAACATCATTTTAAAATATTGCTCCAAATAAAGTTGAGCTTTCAAGATAAGTTCAACTTTACTGACTCAGAACTGCAATTTGCTACAAGAATAAAGGCAGAAGTGTCCGTTTTGCCAGGGCCCACTTATTCAGAGAATATTAATCTGAACAGGTGCTGCCTTTTTCATATGATTATATTCATTTTACAATCTTCTGTTGGTTATTTTCATCCACATGACCAATATAGAAAACAATGTTCTTACTTTAAATAGGATCTGAATGTATTCAATGACACCAATACAATGACACCTAAGATTTAGCCAGCTAATAGAAAATGGCAGTCAAAGAACTGGTCAAAATCAATACTGAATTTTGGGAAGAAAAATCAGAAAGCTTTACTTTTAATCCTTTCAGTGGCCATTCCTAGCAAGGACCTATTTATAGTTTTCCCAGTCTATATCAAAGCTTTCTGAAGGCACAATTGTGTATATTTGAAAACTAATACAGCAGTTAACTGTGGCAGTTGAAAAAATTTCCTGAGCCAAAGATGGAAGCCACAAAGAACTGGCTGTAAAGCAGAAACAGTAAATGCCATGAACAATGAAGTAGTTTTAATCACTTTAAGAATTTTTTCTCCAAAACAAAAAAGGTTTGCTTCATCAAAAATTTTAATTAGCACTTGTTTTGTAAGTTATAGCTCATGGATAAAAGCATTTTCGTGTGACATATATCAAAATACAGCAAACTCAAATGAATTACCATAAAGGAACTGACAGGATTGGCAGTGAAAGAATTACAGTACACTTGCCATCCTAAATCTTAAAAATAGGCCATGCATTACAGATTTACAGATATCCTGCCTTCATTTTCTAGGCAGATTTTCACTTCTGCAGTATCTGAACTGAATTATGCACTTTTTACTTATTGATCTCCATTATTCAAATCATCTGTCACTGTCAGAGATTCCCTGTTAACTAATCTGGACTTCATAAATTGAACAGTTCTATGGGTCCAAGATCAAGAAACAGTGGATGACAATGTTTCCGAAGCCATGTGTCTCCTAGCATTTTTCATGTGTTTCACATACAGCATCCACATTTAGGTCAATGTGCTTTTTGTTAACCTAACTTTAGTTATAGCTTTTGATGATTTTGGTTTGATGGCTTCCACATGCGTATTTTAGGAGGAAAAATATGTGAAATATGTAAATATTTTTCATCCAGATGTTCATTACATCCTGTAACTCTGAACACACAGAGTACAACTTGTTATAAAATAGGGTTGTATTATCAATATTAATGTAGTCCTTTGGGGTATTCAAGGTGCATGGCAATGTCACAACACATATTTATAAAAAGTGACTGGCAGAAAAGTATTTACTGGGGTTTTCTTTTATATTACTTTAATATTTCTCTATAATTTAAAAAGCTTCAGGTGACACAGTGTACATGCAATATTCAGTTCAGGTGAGTCTTTCAGAGAAAAATGCTTTATTACATCACTAAAGTGAAGGGATATGCTCTTGTAGGCAGTAGAGGTCCACAGATACAAAGAAAGATAACCTTTATTACCATCACAATTAAAGAGAATAGAAAGATCTTGCAGGCAATGAAATCTATGCATGATCAGAGCTTCTAAATCAGTTGTCTTATTATATGAACCTTGGTTTCCCATCAAAGTTATTAACTAAATGTGCCATTTTAAATGCAGAATGAAATGTGAGATTTGCATTCAAAGCAATTTGGATTTGTTACAAATTTAGATACTGCTGAAAAATCAGATTCTGTTGATTACCTTTCCAGTTTCTGACTGTTTTAACATTTTAAGTAAGTACAAACTAAAGGAATATTAAGCATATAGTAGGATTTGAATTGGCATGGACAAATGTGATTCAGATGCAAAACGCAGAACTGAATTCTCTGTAACTTATTTTTTCAAAAAGGTTTGCAAATATACCTTAGGAAGCATAACATTTTTTCCCCAGATTGTTTCTGTACTGATTGCTGTCAGTGCCATTGTCCATTATAGATCCATTGTGGACTTCAGTTCCCAGAATTCTGGGAGTTGAAGTTCACAAGACTCAAAGTTGCCAAATTTGGAGACCCCTGACTGATATCAGTACAGCCTGTTAATAACATTTATCCAACCTTTTATGACTCATAGAAAAGGCATTGTAAAAAAAAAGTCAATCCATTAGTAGTTGATCACACATAGTACATTCACTAGACATTCTGTGAGAACTATCATCAAAAGAATTTGGTATGCATGTCTTGTTCCTTATTAAATAATAAATGGTTGGAAAAATACAAAACTAAATATAAGGTTTTCACATGCCTTGTTCCCTGCATATCAAAACATATCAAAACATATCAAAACATATCAAAACAGTGAGCAAACCCACCCTGACATTATGTTCAGATCACCTCTCTGAGTAGAATGCTTACTTTTCCATTCTTATAAGATTCTGTGCTATAGGAAAAAAATGATCCACTGAGCTCTATTAATAACAAGAAATGTGAAGGTATTTCTGATTTAGGAGCAACAGGAAGTGCTAGCAGTCCATGATATTCTCGTGAAGTGATTGCCTCTCTTTCTACTTACAGATTATCTGTAACGAGGAAAACAGTGAGGAAAAATAAGGGAGGGTTGTAAGCTGAAGGTTACTCTGTAATAGTCAGTAAATAAAGCAGGTTGATTGAATAATGATAGTATTATCTAGAAATTCTCCAGGTGAAAAAGGTGTGGATAGGAAGGCAAAGGCACCAGATCATCAAAAACCTCATGCTAGGATGAATATTTTTCCTTTGCTATTATGCTATGTTGATGTTTGGAAAGTGGACTGAAACCCTAGTTAATTGGGATAATGAATCATAGAGTCCACAGTAGTTGGGTGGCAAATAATAAAATAAAATAAAAATGATATTATTGTTGTTCAGTCACTAGGTTATGTCCAACTTTTTGCAATCCCATGGAGCACAGCACACCAGGCCCCTCTGTCCGCCACTGTCTTCCAGAGTTTGCCCAAATTCATATTCATTACATCAATGACACTATCTAGACATCTCACCCTCTGCTCTCCCCTTCCCCTTTTGTCTTCAATCTTTCCCAGCATCAGGATCTTTTCCAATGAGTCCTCTTTTCTCATTAGGTGGCCAAAGCATTTGAGCTTCAGCTTCATTATCTGTCCTTTCAAAGAACAGACAGGTTTGATTTTCTTTCAGATAGACTGATTTGATTTCCTTGCACTCCAAGGGACTCTCAAGAGTCCAACACCACAACACCACAATTCGAAAGCAAAAAGTGATATTAACATTTTTTCAATATCTACCGTCACATTCAATGTTTGCATCGAGATGGTATGTGTGCCTTCCTGAATTCAATTTCTTTTCCATTTGTTTCTGCTGTTTTTCAATAGTGAAATGTTTACATACGGGCAATCTGAAGCTCCAGGGGATTTCAGTATGTGCAATTTCTATATTGAAGATACTCTGTTCTGATTTCTTAGGGTTCTTGTCCCTCTAGAGATGTGTAGTTGATGGCTTTTAACCCATGCAAGTCAAGCCAAAGCTTCTCTTTAAAACCATCAAGTTTGTGAGACTGGCTCTTTGGGAAGGAGGAGGAGGAGCAGGAGATGCTAAAGGGGGTCAAAACTTTTCCTTTCAAAATTGAGAATGGTCTCGGGAGAGCTGCACTTTATTCACAGAGCCTTGGGACCATGAGGGCCGCTCTGAGTTTTTTGTTTGTTTTTTTTTGTTTGTTTTTGCCTTCACCATGAAGCCAGCCAGCTCTAATGTTCCAGGTCTCCCCGGGAGCTTGGGAAAAGGGGCATTTTGAGATGTCACTGCTGAGCAGCTGCCTTTAGCATTTTTCTTCATCTTTGTAAAGGGCCAGACTGGGTGGCCTTGTGGGAGGCAGAAAATGGCAAAGATCAGCAGGTGTGGTAGAGTGCAGGGCAGCAAGGGCAACTGGGATGGAGGTTGCCAGACATTCAGTATTCATGGGGAGGGGGTCTTTGTGCCGTGGCAGACTCTTGAAACTTGGAACTTCCTGTGGGTCAGCTTCTTTGTACTCTGCTGTGAAGGCTTTCCAGTATTCCGCCCTTTGTGAGAGACGGTGCTTTATGCTGTACTATTGGAACTTCTACAGCATTTAAGGGCATAGATGGGGAGGTGCATAAGCAGGTGGGGGCCAGTCATAAGCGCAGGTGGGGCTGCTAAGCTCCCAAACTTTGATGACATGTCTACAAGGGGGCTGCGATGACCATAACTTCAGACACAATTTAAAGGTCCCTTGGTACAGTACCATGGTAATTTACATTGTTTGCTAAACATACTTTCCCAGATGTGACTGGCTTATCATAGCTATCATTGCACCACAAATATATACTCCAAGCAGTCTACTAAACATTGTGGCCATGGTCATCACTGAAGTAATAATAATACTTAACACTAGTAGAGGGAGTAATATTCACCAGCAATAGCTTTAAAGGCTGATAAGGCTTACAAGAAAACCCCTGCTTTAAAAAACAACAACCAAAAACATTATTGGAATCTAGGAGGAGGGATGAGAAATATATGTGAGGCTTCAGCAAAAAACAACAACAGAGACCTGTCTCGTGCATGTGGTAGCGCTTTCTGTTAAGGCAAAGCAATCATTGGATTCATTTAATAATAACTGATTCTTGGAGTTTTTTGGAGGATTTTTTTTTAATGAAGAGAGTCCTTTTCATTAGGGTTTCCTATTAAATGGATCCAGAAAAACTCCTCATTTTTCAGCAGTACACGTACTAACAGTTGTAAAAATTTTAATAATCTCTGCTTGATTTCATCTGGGGTATTGCAAGCTTCATTTCAGCTGTGTCTAAATGAATCTGAAGGGAGGTAATGCGATTTGAAAGTCCACTGCGGTTAAAGTTTCGCATGCTTGGAGTTCAGATAAAAGAAATGGTCTTTCATGTGGTTTCCACTAAAACTGCAATTGTTCCATTACGTCTCTAAATCGGTTTTCATGTTCATTTTACTTACAGTAATTTTAAAAGGGGAGAGGGGGGAATTCATGGAAATGGCCAAGGAAAATGAAGAATGCTTCAAATAACATCCTGGCTCCACACTGAAATCCTTGAAAGGTAATTAGACTTGAAACTACTAACATATGTATTAAATAATGCACATGCAACAATAGAAAGGAGGATATAAGCTATTTGAAAGTATCTTCTCAAAATGTATTATTACTCCACGTTGCCTCACTTCTGCGCACCAATTTGCTATTGTTCTCCTATACAAGACCCTCTGGAAACGCGAAAAATTATGTAGAATTAAATTATAGCTTCCTGGTATATTCCACATTCTTAGTGCCAGGGCTTTTTTTTGTCATAGAACGCCCAGAACAGAGTTCCGGCACCTTTTTTGGATGGAACCTTGTAGGGTAGGCAAGGCGGGTTGCATGACATGTGTGAGTTCTGGCACTTTTTTTTTTTTTTTTTTTTTTACAAAAAAAGCACTGCTTAGTGCAAGGAGTGTTAATCTGGCTAGGGATGTAAGAACACTGTAGTTATAAAACTGGTTTAATTATACATGACCAAGGATAAGATATCTAAGTAATGCCAAGGCCTAGCATAAGACTGTGGGGAAATTGGAAAGCCATTTGACTGGGATTTTATTCTTAAGTATGATAATATATTTTACTTAAAAATACCCAAGTTACATCTTTACTTTCATATGTCATAATTTTTAAATTTTTTATTATGGCTAGGGGCCTCCAAAGTCTGGATCATTCTACAGTACCTTTTCAAATGTAATATTTAAACATATGCCCATTCTTTAAGTAAAAAGCAAATACTAAAACTATAAACAGCAAAACAGTATTATTTCTTCTTCCTTTCAGGAGTTTTAATCAGAAGTTGCAGGATTATTTGAACAGGATCTAATCTCCTTAGAATCTGATACAGAATGAAAGAGGAGTACTTTCTTTAATACTATTTTTTCTCTCTTCCAAATAATGGTAATAATAGTGAAACTGACCAGTAAATTCAATTCCTGAGGAAATATTGCTGCTAAATTTCATATATGCCAAATAGTAAGAATAGCAAACTGAATACTTTTTCTAATCAAATCAAAGACTGAGCATTTAAATGCCTCCTAAGAAAAAGTTCCTTATTTGAAGCTTCTTGCTAAACTCTAACACATTGATAGGAAGAACATTCCAGAAAATAATGTTTCTCTGACTATTTTTCCTGTTGGCACTGCATTGACCTTTAAATTTGCTTTCATTTCAAAAGGAAAGCTTCTCTTTAGCTAGAAACACCAATTTATATAAACTTTAAACAATGCTTCAGGTGTTTCACATGACAATTATAATATATTTAATAGGCCAGATCCAAACATTTATGTTTCATTTACCAGCAATTATTGCACACGTTTGCAATATTTAGTCACTTTAGCATTTCATAGTTTGCCTAGCTACTTGTAGATTTATGTTTAAGAAAATGCTGAAAAAAGTCAATGGGTTGTGCATGGTTTGAAGAAATGTTTTGGGCCTTGGGTAAATCAGAAGAAAAAGATGTTATTGCTTTAAAAGCTGTATTAACCTGAATAAGTGGATTCATTAAAACATCATCCTTTTTCCTAGGCTTGCCCAGAAGCCTCAACCATGTTGAGCCATTTTAATTCTGCACTGTAACTGCAGAGTGCTGTTGTATGTGATGTGTTTTTTTCTGATAAACCTATTTTGAAGCACAGACAGCATGATCAATTAGTATCTGCCAGTTGCTATCATATTTACTCACCCGCTGACCTTCTTTTCCAGGTGGGCCTTGGGGGCCTTCTATTTCTGGCACACTCTGTAAATATAGACAGTTTTCAAATGTTACTTCCCTCATTAATATAGCTTAAAGTAGCTGCTCATATGCCTAAAATAGTAAGCAAACCTTCATAATTAAAGTTTAATTTCAAGCAGTATTCAAACAGGTTCTTATGGCTGTGGCTAGCAGGTGCTAGCAGTTGCTAAAGAGCATAGAAATATCACATTTTAATTTGAAAGGTGGTTTCAATTGTAGATTTGAGCAGTTCTTGCTTGATATTTTTTCAAATAAATAAGTTTTGAACTGGATAGATTTGATGAAAGAATGTGTGCCTGCTTTATGAATAAATGGTAGCCTCAATATCTGAGGGTTATTTTTTATATTAATTTTTGCACGTATGGTAGACATTTCTACATGCTCTCCACTATGCTGAATGGTGAGAGGGCAGTCTTGACTATCCTGATGCCTCAGCATGATTGCAACGCTCACTATCTTCAGTCAGCATGACCACTGATCCAGAAACTAGGATGAAATACACAAAAGCAGAGCACACATAAAGATGATAAAGAAATTGTCTGGATAGCCAGATACCTTTGTACTTGGGAAAGCATTTGAAAAGATTTCAAAAAGACATTTCAATCCCAAAAAGGATCCGCAATCACAGAAAAATGAGTAATGGGAAGTAATGCTACAGCAAACCAAATTCAAATTCAGATATATTATTGCAGCCCTGAGACCAGATACAAACAAGATATTGAATAAAATAAGTATTCACACACACACACACACACATATGTGTGTAAGCGACATATTTGTGTAAGAGAAAAACAGTAAGTATAATAATGGAATCTAAAAATAATATAACTAGTAAAATAAATCAAATCAAATACTATTTTAAGAAGTTCCAATCCTAAGTAATGATACAGCATATCATAGAAATGGTAGCAGAGAACTGAGCAACTTAGGAGATCATTTTCGGGACATTGTCTCAGAGTAGTAGCATTAATCCCCACCTAGAAATTTCTTCAAGACAGGATATATAAACAGAAGACTGGGGATCTGTAGGGTAGGGTGAATTCCCCCAAATTTCTGAGATTTAAAAAAAGCTTATGACAAGACTATAAAATAGGGAAATGCAGAAGAGATATTAAATCAAAAACTGGAATTATAGGAAAAAACTGGAATTCAAGACTTCTACTGACAAGGACACAAGAGCTATAGAAACTTATACTCTCAATAAGTGGAGCAAAAGCATCTTTGTGTCCCTATCTGCATGTGTAGAAGTGTGTGTGTGTGTTTGTGTATAAGTTAGGCATGGTCTTTGTGAAGTGGTTCACATAAAGTTTGGCTTCAATCATTTTCAGTTTTCACCTCACAGTGTTTATCAGAGAATATGATCTTTGGGATGAAGAGGTACCTTGGTGTCACAGTGCTACATATTGTCCTGTGTAATCTCAAACCAGTCACTTGAGAAAGCTCTAGCTGGTTTTAATTAAATTATATTGCTTTGGCTGTTATCGGAGGACCTTGAGGGATGATTCTAGGACTTTCCCTAATCCACAAGGGTCAAATAAATGACAGGAAGACTGTTCCTTCTGTTGTTAAGTTGAAAAAAAATGACAGTTCAGAGAGAGAGAATTCTCTGGGCGTGTCAAGCTGTTGGCTGCATCTTTACCAGAAGTCAATTCATGGCTTCAGGTTCATGACTTTATTTGACTTTGTTTTCAAACTTTAGAACAATACACAAGATGCATGGCCCAATTTTTCCTCTCTTAAATCAGCCTGGTAACCTGAGTGACATATATTTATGAAGCCAACAAAAACATGACAAGGGAATCTTTTTATTCATAACTACAGAGCTATTTTCTGTCTTATTTACAGATACATAATTAAATCATTTTTAAAAAAAAATATTTCTCTATAGCCAAGTAAGTTGCATATTTTAAAGTAAAAAAATTGAAGTCAACTTCAGATAATTTATCATTCATACCAAACAAGGCCAGTTCCTTTAATCCTGGAACAACATTTCTCTTTTATTGAAAAGAGAAGTGTGAATTAGTTCCTAAAAAAGCAGATTCTGGTGGAGATATTAGAATGGAGCATTTAAATAAAATGCATAGATCATACATGATAACTTTCTTACATTAGCATAACTCAAATTCTCCACAGCTTGATCAACATGACCTCTTATTTTCAGCTTGACTTGATTTCAAATGCTATTCATACACTCAGTAGTGAAAGTGATAGAAAATTGAGATGATCTTAAAAGATGCTACAAAATTAAACTGCCAGATGATTGGTCTTAGCTATATGGTATAGCTGGATTCAATTAATATTGTAAGTATTTTAATAAAGATTAATTACTTCATAGAGTTCCTTCTCTCAATTTTATATTTTTCCCATCTCTGGCTTATATGCTCAAGAACATTCCTCATGCTTAGTTCATTAATCATAAACCAAATACATTATTGTGATATGTAATATGAAACCACAGAATTTAAACTCTCCCCTAGGGTCACACACTTCCTACCTCAGATTTGGTGAAGGGGAAACTGACAGTCTCTGCTTCTGTTTTTACATCACTAGAAGTTTAGCCTGATGCCCAAAATGTATGACACAAAAACTGCAACTCACAATGTCCCTTTTCTTTCCATGTGCTGTTTCTCTAGCTATTGTCTACTTACCTACTCACCCACCATGGATTCTCTGCTTCTACACATTCCACCATCTCTCCCCATGTCAAATTTCCAGATTTCCACATTCATCACTGTGAGCTCAGTATATCTGGCTTCACTCACAAATTTCTACTCCATCTTCAGATTCTCTGAATAGCTGCTCCATATTTCTTCTGCCAACCATAACAATCCTTCACAATCTAGTTCTAGCCTCTAGTCTGCCATAATATTACTGGGCATTTTGGAGCTGCTATTGGGATTCTCTCCCTATCTCAGTGTTGTTTTCTGGCTTATCAATGCCAAATTTCCCCAAACATGCTAATATTTTGTGTAAATATATCAGATTGTCCTTAGGGCTCTAAAGAGATTCTGACCAATTCCCACTTCTTAAATTCCATGGTCATGATAAAAGGTTAAGCTACTCAATTGTTTCAAACTGTGAAATGGATGGCAAATAAATTTGATAATAATAATTTTAAAATGTTAAAAATGATAACCTGGGACAACAAAATGTTAAGGCTGAAGCACTGTCTGAATTTATGACAAGTTTGATGACTTTACTATTGAGTTTGACTCCTACTGTGACCAGCCAGAAACAGAAGCAACAACTATTTTGAAAGGCTGCTTGTGAATTTTGGGAATCGGCTTCAAGGAGGTGAGTGAATTGAACATTTACCAGATCACAACACTTTTCTGAAGATATGCAAAGCCCTAATAATTTTGATCTGAGATAGCATTGAATTTACTGTCTGTAATGGTATATGGGAATGAGCTTGGGAGACAGGAGAAAGATCTGGCCTAGACAATAATCTAATAAATGATTGAGTGGGAAGGAAGAGGGGTGGAGAAAGCATCTGAGAGCTTTCACAGAGCAAAAACAAGGGGTGAGAGGTACTTTCAAATTTGCCAGATTCTTTTAATGTAACCTTACAAATAAGATAGCATTAGTACTCATGGTTGTGCTTCTTGTCTGGAGTATCACAAAGGGTAAGTATTTTATTTAATAAAAGAATTAGGTTACAATTTTGTAATGAAAGCAACAGACAAATAAATGTTTCTGGACTTCAGTGAATCAACTAGTTTTAAGCCATTTGCTACTCTTAAAACCCACATTCATATTACAGGTGCCTTCCCTTATTTACAAAATTTTGTAGCCTAGTCAGGTGATGTAAATCTTAGCAAAAGCAACATATTATCTGGGCTTGAAGCTAGCAGGGTCAGCTCTAGTTAGTATTTGAATGGCAGACCTCAAGGGAATACCATTGGCTAGACTTGTAGTGAAAGAACAATCTGGAAAAGGTACTATCAAATCAGTTACTGTTACCAAGAAAATTCCATGAAGCAGTCCACAAAGTCACCAAAAACTGAGCTTGATTAGATTAAGAATTGATTTACAAATGATCCATTTTTCCTTTGCTTCTTTGATCTTTTTCTTCTTTCCAAAAAATCCTTTCAGAAAGGAAAGACAAGAAAACTGCATAATATGTTTTAATTACTAAATTAGGAAGCAGCTATTTGGAAACACACTACTTTGTGTATAAAGTGAAGTAATCCTATTTTTAAAAACATATTTTTAAATATACTTAAGAATAGGAAGGAAGGAAGGAAGGAAGGAAGGATAGTTAGACAAGAATGTCTAACTAATCTGAAACAATCCATCATTTTAATTTTATGAAAACCAGACAAAATCTGGTGTTTTAAGACCTTACGTTAAGAGAAAAGCAAACTTGATATGTGGTAAAAGTCTACATATAGAATTAAAGTCCATAATTGTACATAAGACCTTAAAAATGTAAGAAGATTTATGGCCTACTTCTAAAATTTTAACAAGATTTGATGTAAAGCATTACTTGAATTAATTATAAGCCATTTCATCTGTGAAAACTTAGAGTACACTTAAATTAATATGCAAATAAATGTGATTACATCATAACCAGTTTTGAAGCCTGATAAGTGAATAAACCATTGAGAATTTTTTCTTAGAGAAAAATAAATTTATCCCTCAAGATTCTCCGATACAGAAAAGGTCTGCAAATAGCTTCAGGAGCTGTGCTTCAAAACAGCCTGTGTGCCAAAAGCTGGGGGGGGGGGCTGCAATCAGTTCATTGTCAAAGAAGCAGCCATTTTGGAATTTATATTTCAAATGGACAGTAAGTTTTCTTCCACTTCTTAATCATTTTTAAAGACTATTAATCTTTATTAAGCTAAATGAGGCTCTCTTTAGCCATAGCCTATTACACTTTTTTTGGAAGATCTGTGCCATTTTGGGGATTTCTTCAGTGTTAAACAACAAGGAAGAAGGCTGCTAAGGCAAGCCAAAATAAGGAAGCGTGGAGTATTTTTTTTTAAAAAAAGTTGATGGAG